CGCGCGGAGCCCGCGCTGCGTGTGCCGGCTTGAGGGGAGCCCCCCGCAGCTCGCTCTAGTCTGTAAACTGAGTGCCACGGACCTGGAGCAAGTGGGAGAGCCGGTGTGCACGAGAGAAAAGATGGAGCCGCACAAAGCCGCCCCTCCACCCACCCGCGCTCTCCTTTTGAGTCGAGCTGCGCTACAGAGTTTGCAGCGTGATGTGTGCCTAAGGCGTCCTTGGCAAGGGACTCTGCCTAACGCATCCTCTTTGCTCTAGTCTGTAAACTGAGTGCCACGGACCTGGAGCAAGTGGGAGAGCCGGTGTGCACGAGAGAAAAGATGGAGCCGCACAAAGCCGCCCCTCCACCCACCCGCGCTCTCCTTTTGAGTCGAGCTGCGCTACAGAGTTTGCAGCGTGATGTGTGCCTAAGGCGTCCTTGGCAAGGGACTCTGCCTAACGCATCCTCTTTGTCAGGGAGACGCTCGGAAGGGGCTCAGCCATTTCTCCCGCTGAACTGCAAATGTTTCCCCCTCATTCTCGGCCCGCTGACTTGGGGTTAGCTGGCGGGGCCGGGGACAAAGCGCTTCGCCTGCCCTCTAAAAATAGAAAGCATTCAATGTTATTCCCCGAAGTGCCACCCTAGGGAAGGGAACTTTCAGGAATAGCATCACAAGCGTCTAATCGAGCGGATTGGTCAGTGCGGTGAGGTCACTTGCAGAAGCTCTGCCTCCTGAAAGCTGGAGTGGAGGGAATATACCAGCTCAGAGAGCTTCCTCGTAGAAAGGTAAGGGGAGCCGTGCCTCTGTGCAAGAAGTTAAAGGCAAAACGCCATCGTTACTGCCATAACACAGTTGTGACTTTAAGAGCACAACAGTAGGAAATGCTTAAGTTTAGTCATCATAATCTTTATGTCCCTAATACATATCTATTATTTTGGATTATGTTGGGATGCTACAGTAAAGTAATACTTTTCATATGTAGTATGAGAAAATCAGCATTGCCACTTCCCATGAGAACCATACATTTTGCATTCCCTGGCTGTTTTGCTATTGTAAACATTTAACTTTTATATTTTGTTAACAGATTTTTCAGTTTACTTTTCCTAGGTTCTCCTCTTCTGCCTTCCAAAAACAAAACGTGCAAAACCCAAATACTTCTGAAATCACGGATATCTCCACAAAAAACATACCAGTGTAATTGACACACATCTGTCCTGTTATGATTGCATCTCTACCTCAGTAAAGTGTGCCAAGTAGAAATCCTCATGCCAGATACATCTTAAATTAGTCAAGTAACCACTTTGTCAATGCATGTGCTGATTGTAGGTTCAGTGACAGGCTCTTGCTCAGCCCCATTGAAGTCAGTGACGTTCAACTTAGGTAAAGGCATTGCCAGGATTTAGTTCTTAATTGTTTGATGCTTAATTATACATCTTGTAATGAAATAAATGCCTTTGCACACATCACTAGCACTATTAGTTTCTTTCTGCTTTAGAGTAATTTTCACTTTAATGTTCTTAGCAAAGCAGTGTTAGGGTTTCAGATATATTTGGACAATGTTTTTAAACAATATTATAAACTTTTAAATGTGGAAAAACTAACTGTTGTTGGTCTATGTTTTATAAATACTTAAGATAATTTAAAATTTAGGTCAAATCTTAAATGTGTGTATATCATGAACATTTCTACTGCCTATGCTCAAATCATCATTTTTAAAAGTTAATTACTATTAGCAAGTTCTCCATTAAAAGAAGTCAATGGGGCTGTGTCTACATTGGCAAGATTTTGACTTTTGTGCAAATTCTTGCCGCCTGTCTACACTGGCCGTGAGTATTTGCTCAAGAACACTGATGTTCTACTGTATGAAATCAGTGCTTCTTGCTCAAATACTCTTGACGCTCCAGCTCAGGAATAAGTCCTCTTGCACAAGAGGCCAGTGTAGACAGGTAACATCAATTTCTTGCACAAGAAAGCCCGATGGCTAAAATGGCCATCGGAGCTTTCTTACGCAAGAGAGCATCTACACTGGCACGGATGCTTTTGCGCAAAAGCAAATCTTTTGCGCAAAGGCACATGCCAGTATAGATGCTCTCTTCCGCAAATACTTTTAACGGAAAAACTTTTCCGTTAAAAGTATTTGCACAAAATCATGCCAGTGTAGACACAGCCTGGGTGTTTCCTTACTGATATCAAAGGGGGCAGAACTGAACTCCTTGTTATATAAGAGGCAGCATGGCCTGAAACAGTGGTTTTCAACCTTTTGGGGTCCCAATTTTCAAAATACTAGGAAATCATTACGCAGGAATAACAGGGAGCTATTTTGTGGGGATAAGTGCTAACCGGGTAGGACGTTGGAGCTGCTGGTGGAATCTTGTAGGGCAGGTAGGCAGGTGGATGGGGGCTGATAATTCTGGGTGCTGTGAGTTAGGCCACTGATGTTGCTAGGTGGGGGTTTCTGGGCTAGGTAAGAGGGACTGATACTGTTGTGTTCTTCCCCCCTCTCTCCCCTGCCTCATCCCCTCATTTTGAATGATCCTCACTCGTTTTTGTCCTAAAGTTATGTATGTTGTACACAGATTTGGTCTTTCCTCACTTTCACTACTGAAAATTATTTGAATCAGAATTAAAGAATTCTGAAACTGAAGTGATTCCAGGAATCCCACAATATTTGGAGCTTGGGATGTTGAAATGTATGTGCCTTCTCCCCATTAAATAGCACTCAGATTCCAGGGTATCATTGCTCTGGTTGCACATACACAGTTAATTCAGCTCCTTTTTTCTCTTGTACAGCTCAGCATTGAGGGATAGAAGGGAGATGGACAAATTCCAGTGTTAGAGGTGGGCCAGCAAGAGACGGAAGGGAAGTTAAGGAACTGCATCTTTCTTTTACCTTTTCAAATTATACCTAGCTCCTAGTACGCAAGATTTTTTTGGCCTTATCTGGCAACGTGTGCACCATAAGTACATAAGGGCGTGGCAGCGCTCATAGTATTGCCAATCTCAAATGTTCAGAAATAATGAGATAAAGTAAAAACACAGATTTGGTGTTTTTATTTACCTTCTGCTTTTGAGACTCTCATGTTTTGAAGCTTTCTCCACAGCCACAAAGGCTAGAAACCTACTTTTTCTTTAAGAATGAAGGCTAAAATCATCACTTATCCACTTGACTGTAGGAGCTGGGGCTTTAAGAAAAATAATTATGAAACTCATGGCAAAATCATGAAAGTTGGTAACATTCATCAATAATGGTCACACTATGATTGGAAGCTGAGATCCCAGAGTTCTAATCTTATGAAATAAACATGTCTGAATTATGGGTGGGACCCAACCAAATTCAGAGCCATGAAAAATGCATCGCACCCCATAAAAGGAATTTTCAACGAACTAAAAATAAAATTTTAAAAATCACCATCTTTGTTTCGCCTGCAACAAATCTCGGTATCAACTCTGCCCACATATCTACACCATCACAGGACCTAACCACATCAGCCACACCATCACGGGCTCATTCACCTGCATATCTACCAATGTAATATATGCTATTATGTGCCAGCAATGCCCCTCTGCCATATGTAAAAGAATAAATGGACACCAACCAGATGTCAGGAATGGTAACCTACAAAAACCTGTAGGAGAACACTTCAGTCTCCCTGGACACACAGTAGCAGATTTAAAAGTAGCCATCCTGCAGCAACAAGAACAACTTTCAAAAACAGACTTCAAAGAGAAACTGCAGAGCTTCAATTCATTTGCAAATTTGACACTATCAATTTAGCATTAAACAATGACTGTGAATGGCCACTAGCCAACTGCAAAGGCAGTTTCTCCTCTCTTGATTTTCACACCTCCACATCATCTGCTAGAAGTGGGCCACATCCTCCATGACTGAATTAACCTCGTTATCTCTGGCCTTCCTCTTGATTGGTTCTCCCTTCTTTTCATGTGCCTGTATATTTATACCTGTCTCTGGAATTTCCACTACATGCATCTGACAAAGTGGGTCTTTGCTCACAAAGATTATGCTCCAATAAATCTGTTAGTCTATAAGGTGCCAAACTCCTCATTGTTTATGCAGATTCAGGCTACCCCTCTGATACTCATCTTTGGACAAAAGAAAAACCATGGAAAATTTCAGCCTACAAGATTTGTTTCACAAAGTTATGATTTGGGATCTGATCTTGGAAATGTTTCTGTAGGGGGGCAGACCTTCTTGTTTTGTAAGTCATGGGCTCTCAAACTTAGTTTCTCAAACTTCATTGCACATACCCCATCTTCTGACAACAAAACTTACACCACCCCAGGAGAGGGAACTGAAGCCTGAGCTCAGCTGCCTCTGGTACACAATATTAACTAAATTTACATTTTGCTATGAGCAAATAGAACTTGCACTTAACAAGACTGGCTCAATCTGTCTCTTGCCAGTTCATTTTTCCTGGCTCTTGAGACAATACATAAATCTGTCACAGGCAGCTCCAAACTAAATTCATGGCACCATGAAAAATCTGCACAGATTCTTCACTAATTGGGGGGGAGGAGGGGAGGGGAGAAAAGGACAGGGAACTGAATATTTATCCACCATATAGAAACTTCTGAAACAGATCAATTTTTTTTTCAAAATTATTACTTTTCCTGGGATTTTTCTGCTTCACTAAACTAAATCTTTTTCGTGTTTAAAATAAATCTCTTATAATTATTTCTAAATATGTTTATAATTCCATTTTACAGGTGTTAATTTCTTCCTTTATCCTAACCATTTCTATTTTTTAACTTTCTGAATACATTAGGCCTGATTCCTCCCTGTTGTCACTCCATAGAAGTCAATTGGAAGAGATATTTGACTCCTTGTTATTTTCAACCATGTGTCTATCTACACAAACCAGGAAGAAGTCAAAGGACCCTTTTCTTACCTAACCGGATTCTCCGCCCTCATGTTGGAATTTGATTAACCCAGCAGCCTACCTTTCTAAGTATCAGCTCCCTAGCCTGAGACAATGCTTAAGGTTCCAGGAAATGAAACAGAATAATGAGTAGTTACCCTTTTAGACCCACGATGACCTGGGACAGCATTCCTTCATAGGAACTGATCCTGCACACCCTTACTATTACAATGGGATCAGTTGTGTAAGCGCTTCAGTTTTATCCGTAAAAAATAGACTGCAGGTATAATTATGGGGAGAGAGAAAATTTCTGCTGTAGTTCAAGTTTATAAGCTGCCTATTATAAATTCAGTTTTGACCCTTCCCAACTAAACCAATTCTTCACATTATTATTTCCGATTGCTGCAGTGTGTTAGGTTTTGTACAGAGGAATATCATACCTGCATTAAGGAATTTAAACTGTAAATTAAATAAACTATATAGTTCAGATATACAGTACACCAAATGATGGTTCAAAATTGTTTAGATATCTTTATTTAAAATTACGATTTTAAAAGGCACATGTAATTTTGGTGAATTAATGTTCATAAGATCTGAAGAAGAAAAGTGTTTTAAGGAGGGACTGAAATGAATACATTGTCTTAATGCAAAAGACTTGTTTAAGGTTTTGAAAGTGATTCTTTAAAGTAGGTTTTCCAAACTGTGCATTATGACCCAGAAAAGGGTCATAGAATGGGTGTGGGATGAGTAAAAATGTAAAATTTAGTTTGTTTAATCCACAAATGTAAACTGATTTTCTTTGGCTGCCTCTGAAGAGCCATACTGAGCTGCAGTTGCAGAAGTTTGAAAATTCTCATCCCATTTCATCCTAATATCTTTATAAATCAAGTTCCTCTTCTGATGGTGATGATATAACAAAGAAAAATTTCAATTGCCTATCTACTGAAATGGTTTCAAATTCAATGGTCCATGTTTCATTAGCAATACAGGCTAAACCACTTTGTTTAATTGTACTTAAAGTGTTTCATCTTCTTGAAAATTGAAATTTATTTTCTGAAGCGTTATAAATAGCTTTTATTTCTGAAATAGCTATGGTTTAAAATTTTGCCTGCTCATTGATTAAAATAGAATTCAATGTGGAGGGTGATCAACAGCTCAAAAAGTTTGAGAAATCTTGCTTAAAAATAAAACTAATACTTATGATAGTGAACACATATTATTGTATGTAAAAATGGAAACATTCTTTTCACATTTTTAAGTATGGTGCAATCATCTTACTATATATTTTAGAAATGGACATCTGTCTTTTTGTTCAAGAACTCCCCATAAATGGTAAGAGCTAGGAACACCAAATTTGGTATGCAGCTTCCTTTTATCATATCTTAAAGCAAGGTAAGGGTTTGATTGTGCCAAGACACTGGGATGTGCCTGGAATTCAATTTTCTCATAAAATGATAGGTGGGAGTTACACTGTAGAATGACCACAGGAGGCAGCAAGGGGCTAGAGATGGTAACTGAGACAGCTATAACCCCATTGGGCCAGCAGGGGTGGAAAAAGGGACTGCTATCTACATTTCATTGTCTGTGTGTGTGTCTTCTGTGCCCCAGCTGGGGGACATGCACCCCTCCCCCAGCTGTGCCCGTTACAGCGGGCATGGAAAGGCCCTTCTCACCTACCCGCAAGCTGCTGTGGTGAGAGCAGGTTGGGGTTGTCCTCTCATACAGAATCCCTCATCCCCAGCCCCACCCCAGAACAATGATTTAAGTGAAAAAAAATAAAAAGACTTAAGCAATGCCAGATAAAAATCTTCTAGTGAAATAATATAAGCAAAAAAAATGTATAAATGTGACTTAGCATCTGGTTATAATTGTACAGTAAGAACAGAAGAAACTTACTCAGTATTAAAAAACTCTATCTTCAATTTTGTTAAAAGAATAAATTACTGGATACAGCTATTTGCAAACAGACTGTTTTTTAAGAAGAAATCTAGATGTTGCACAATTCACAACCTTCTTGGACTACATAAAAACAGTAAACCCATCTTAAAATTTGAGTTGCACAATACAATTATTTAAAAAAAAAAATCTTCATATTCTCTTTTTTCCTTTCACTTCTCTTTTCTCCCTCCTGGTCCTCTTTTGTGAGTATAGCTGTTTTCTATTTCATAGATAATGTTACTGATTGATCATTATTGTTCTGTGCTAGTTTTCTTGCAGAAAACAACCTAGATGTGGTCACTGACATGTAAACAATTATATTTTAAGATTTAAGACATATTAATTTTTTATATTTGATAAGACTTGTCTCAGATGACAGGATCTTTTCTAAGCTCTACCACTTAATTGCTTATTTTACCTTTGAGTCATTTGAACTATTCTAACTGGAAAATGACATCGTACATGCTCCCTATATGCCAATAGGAGGTTTTGGTATGTCATACCAGAAGAAATAATTTTACTAGATCCCAACTTTATGTGCAGTTTTAAAATTACTCTTGTACCAATTCACAGATGGACAACAAAAATATTCTGTTTCCATTCTGTCTAGTTTTTAGTCTATTGGCTTCACTGATAATAAACTAGCACATGGATTTCAAATAAGGGCAACTTCTTAAACAATTCATTACTGTATTCCCATCCTTCAGAACTGTCTTTTATATATGCCAACTGTTATATATTAATCTTTCTTTAAACTTTTGTAGTATAATTTCATTGACCAGAGAGGGAGAGGGAGGGTATGTCTACACTATCACTCTAGTTCAAACTAGGGTGGTTAATGTAGGCAACCGGAGTTGCAAATGAAGCCCGGGATTTGAATTTCCCGGGCTTTATTTGCATATTGCCGGGTGCCGCCATTTTTAAATGTCCGCTAGTTCGGACTCCGTGCCCGCGGCTACACACGGCATGAACTAGGTAGTTCGGATTAGGCTTCCTATTCCCAACTACCGGTACACCTCGTTCCAACGGTACAATTCTTACTAAATATGCTTAACACCCACTAAAACTAAAGGAAACTAAGTGGGCACTACACGGCTAGAACATATTTGTAATACTCAATTAGTTACTGCTGAGTCACTTAAGTATACTTGCACAATGATTCTAATTCAGCCTGACAGTAACACAGCTGCTTTTTTCACTTGCTGCTTCACTGTTGTATCTTCAGTGACATTTACAAAAAAACATTGTCTCTATGGAAAGTGATGTAGAGATAGAAATATTTCCAATTTCTTATATTCAATTAACCAAAGATACTATAATTCTGTAAATTAAATCCATCAGCTGATGATATTTTATTATGATAATTTATATCACTATCTTTTTCAGACAGGTGCAAATATTCAGTGTGTTTCTGTGACCAAATAGTCTTGGGTTTTAGAAATGTCAAGGCTCTTGACTCATTCCTTTATCTGCAGGTGACAGTCCAGCACAGTATGCCATTTGAAACTTGTTCAGAGTGCATAACTAATCTTTTCCATTGTTTTGGAATTCAAGATACTGTTGCTAAATGACATGACTCAGACTGATATAATAATATTATATGATCTTACACTTACATAGCACCTTTCTGCCAAACACATTAGGATCCTTTTGGTTAATTCAATGATACAAAGAGCTCAGTGGTTCAGGAGCCAAATTGGTGATCAACATTACCCAAATAGCCATAGTAGTGTGAAATTGTTTCATTTTCTATTTTTATTTATATACAAGTCTCACAGCAAAATGATCAACCAAACATTTTATCAGCTACAGCAGCCCCCGCTCTGTGATGTGTGTATATCAGGTAAAAAGATGGAAGTTGGTGACACTTCTAGCATGCAGATATGATCACCCTCCTGCAATTAGATCTATGCTTTTGATGCTATGCATACACCTCTAAGCAGCTGAAGAGCTGAGATGACCACTGTGCTTTCCAGCAAGAGCACCAGGAGCACCTCCAGACTTACTACTCAGAAAAGCAGCCCCTTAGAGTTGTAGATGCAGCCCTTAAATACCAAAAAAAAAAGCTTGCTGGCAGAATTTAGGTCACATTCTACCTGATTTTTCCTATCAAAGGCCACAAGAATGGGAAAATGTCCTTAAGGGAGGAAGGGGAAAGGCAGACTGTTAAGATAGAGTCTAGGTTGTTTGGACATTCAAGATAGAGCACCTGTGTAGTTAAACACTAGTGTTTCCTCTCTACATTATGGTATTTTGTTTTCACTCCAAAATTACCATAGTCACCACTATGGAATTAATTGCAGCTATAAGTAAAAGGGGAATTAACTGAAAGAAAAAAATAGTCTAAAGAAATAATATTGCCCTATAACTCCACCAATTTTAATTCAAATTGCAAAACTACTGTGTATAATACAAAATTAAAGTAACAAGAATTCTTTGTATCGAATATAAGCAGGGCCATACACCACGGGGTAGGGAGGGGGCAAATGTACTCCCATTCTATGGTCCACAATGAGGCCAATTCTGGCTGGGCTGGGCTGGGGCAGTGCGTTGCCTGAGCCTTCCCTCCCACCATGCTCTGGCCAGCCAGGGGAAGGCTGGGCTTCATTTCCCCCTCCCCTAGGAATGAGGTAGAGGGCAGGGCTGGGCTGCCATGGCAGGAGTGGGACAGCCACCAGCCCCTCCAATGGGTGGTGGATATCTTTGTCCTGAGGTTCCCTAGAAGACAGGAGCTTCAAACGCTCCTTAATTAACTGTGAACATGTCTTACACACTGCTGTGAACTTCTTGTCATGAAGAAAAGTTTGCTGTTACCTAAAATCTATTTTACTACTACTAGCTCATATATAGTCTTACCTGAAAAACACTGAAGATGAAGACTGGGATATTTTGGAATATTGTTTTTCACTTATGATATTACAGCAAGGTTAATTTCTATAAAACCTTTATTACTATATACATTTTAGTATAACAAAATCATTTTACCAATCACTGTTTCCACTCAATTTTTTCATTAGCCTCTCATGCACCCTCATTGCATGAGTATTTTGAACACCTTAATATTTTTAAAAAAAAATGCAGTCCACTTTTACAAAAAAAAAAAAAAAAAAAAGCACCACCACTCCCAGAAATTCCTGCCTGATAAGTGTTATTGAAAAGACAGATTGTAAAGCCTGTTGCTAGGAATCAGTCTACTGTGTAAAAATATGAAAATATTTAATGTAAGTCAATAAATGAAATTAAGATAAAATAAGATTTTTTATTTTAAAAGTTGATAGCTTTTAAGTGAAACTGATAGTAGAGTCTATCAATTTATTATTTTAAGTAAATTAATATAACTAATTTTTTAATCACAGAAGAGTTGATTAAAACAGTCAGCTTGTACAGAATTGATTTTTAGAGTTTTACACTGATCTGTTTCAAAAGAGCTGATGCAAATAGAGTGGCTGTACTACAGCAAACGTTACAGCATATTTAATATCAGCATAGTTCCGCTACCCACACCATTCTAGTGGTTGAAGAAGAGACCCTGGAATCAGAACGCTGGGATTTTTCCTAGCTTTGTCACTGGGTTGCTAATCAGCCTTCACTAACTGAAAGAAAAAAAGAAATAATATTGCCCTATGACTACCAATTCTAATTCATATTGCTAAACTACTATGTATAATAGAAAATTAAAGTAAAAAATTATTTGGATCAAATATAAGGAGGCCCGTACACAGGAGGTCAATTCACTACCCTGAGACCAATTCACCACCATGAGGCCATTAAAGCTTTTTATAGCTTAGTGTTCCTCTCTTGTTATATGGTTGTAATCCTTTATAAGACTGTCATGGGGCACATTTATGGTTGTAAAGCACTGAGGTCCTCAGATGGAAGATATTTTGTATGCGTAATCGATTATTATTTAATGACTCTTAGTAGTCAAATTAGTTTTGATTCAGTTGCAAAACTCCAGCTCTCAACAGAAATGTTAACTGCTATTTGCTTTTTAAAGATGTTGAGTGGATTTGTTGAATTTATAGGTTTTACGTTAATGATTCTTATCACACACCAGTGTAAGTCGAGAGTAGAGGCTTATACTTGATTCAGTCCCATACTGCAAACGAAGAGGAGATATACAATTCCATTCAATGTTCCACATAGTT